AGAAGGGATTTGATTAAATTTAACAATAGATGTTTTTTGTGCTGGTGATGTATTCGTTAATGGCTCATGTTGAATTGTCGGATGATCGGAAGAAATATTCTTTTTAGGCATAATTTTATACAAAATTTTACGATCTTTTTTATTCATTGGTTTAAATGAAAAGGATGATAATTTAGGTTGTGAGACACTTTTATTTACAGCTGGATAAGTCTGAGTGTTAATTTTTTTTAAAACTGGTGTATCAGAATCATGTAATGAGGCTTGGGATTCAACGGATGTTTCTTCTAAATGGTTGTCTAATTTTCTTTTCTTGTCCTTCATGCGAGTTGAATCATCATTCATTGAAATATTATTATTCTCTTGAGATGATAATAAATTCAAAGAATCCATGCCAGAATAAAGGGAATTACTTAATTGTGAAGTTTGTTGATCCTCTTGACCATTGTTATTATTGTTAATTGAATTATTTGGAATAAAGCCTTCATCTTTCGATGTTAATATTGAGTTTCCTTTTTCTTCAGATATCATTTTCATTAATTCTATAATTTTTATGAGTACAATAAGAAAAATTTCGTTCAAAAGCAAAAAAAATATATATAGTAGAAATGAGTATTATACTGACTTTTCTCCTAATAAGAAAAGTGGAAAGATGGAAAGATTTGATTCTTTACGTAATCTGATTTCATAATCACAAGGCCATATGTATAATAAAAAGAAAACTTCCGAAATGCGCAAAAATGACAACAATCTTATGTAATTCGTAATAGTCTGCTTTATTTAAATTGCAAATTTAAGGATTTAAGGGGAACGATAAAATATCCTATCCTTTAGCATTGCTCCTTGATTCAAATATTCTTTTATTGTTAGTACAAGCGTAAGATGATCTTGTGTACCTAGCGCAAGTACTAGCGGTTCTCAGGTGAGAGATTTTATTTCCTACCACTACTCGATAATTTCAAAACCCTCCGAATAAAGAAAATCAAAACTAGAATTGTGAAAATGTCATAATATATTAAATTTAATTGGCTAAATAACGATTACATAATTACATAAATTAAATAGTTATTGCAATAAGTGGAGTATTTTATGGATGATCTTGATTGACTGCCGGTACGGCCGGATTATTTAACAATCAAGATCAAACATAAAATACGTCAAGTATCAGAAGTTTAAAATCTTAATGAGCACTTTGGAACCCCGAAGGGGTTCCAAAAACGCAAATTAAGATTTTCGACTTCTGATACGGCACTTATTGCATGCGTAGCATTGCAATAACGGATTTATTGTTTTTTTCGATACTACAGAAATTATAAGCTTTCGATTTTTTATAATATAAAATTTTCGATATAGTTAAAATATTAAAATTGATACGTCAATTCGCGATTCACGTTGATTCTAAATTAACAGTTAACATACGTCATTTAAAATTTATACCGATTAGCGTTAGGCTCCTTACACAAAAGGGATGATACAAAAAATTAATCTTTTTATTTTTTTATATTCTAATTAATCTAATTCTTCAAGAAATCCCTCCCTTTTTGCTGTGGGGGTCCCATATGTCAAATTTAGCTAAACCAAATAATAACAAACTATAAGGTCTAGTTTTTAATATTTTTATCTGATAGCTTCAAATATTCGGTTTTTTTTTTATTTCTTGCGCTTTAAATCATTGAAACAATAGTTAATAATTGTATGAATAGTTGAAAAGTAAAGACCATTATAAATATAATCATTGTTTGATACTCTAGAAATCATGTAAATATATACAAACGTTTTTATACCTGTTTGCAAAACTTGATTTTTTTTTTTTTTTGTGTTGTCGATTACTAGCTACTCGTGCTAAGGTAATTTTTCTATCATAATTATATACGTAAATAAAAAAATTACACTGCACTAGTAAGGCGAAACCAATTTAATTTTGTGGTTTACATTACATCTCCACTTTGAAAGAGGGGTGGAGGGAGCTAAAGAGAGGGGGGTGGGGTAATGTCAACCACCAAATCAAATTGGTCGCCTAATCATAATAATCGGCAATCACAAGCTAATCTACATACTGTAAAAGTTTTTGGCATAAATTTAGATACAATATATCTGATTTATTATCTTAAGGATTAATGTTAAGGTGAATATTAAGGTGAATATTAAGGTTTAAATTGAGATCATGATTAATTTATAATCATTATCGAATTTCAAGAATAAATTTATTGCATATTAATAAATATATACAGTATGACGATTCAAGACTAAACCAGAATATTTAGCCACATCTACCGGTATCATGCTACTTTATTTCATGTTAATGCAGTAATGTAAATATATTACATATGAGAATTATTGTTATTATATAACAATCAGAAAATTTTACTATACCGATACCTATTGCATTTATAAAACTATCCTCTATTATAAAATCATTACGCTATTAATTTCTGTATCTTGATTTCATAATATATTATCATCATCATCTAAATTTAATGTTAATGAATTATTATTATCAATATCAATATCTGATGAATAGATTTGTTCAATCATTTCTTCAATTCCTTCACCGATTCTTTCCTTATAAATCATATTCTTTACTTCCTTATCCTCATTATCCATTTCTTCACAATTACTGGTAATTTCTTGATTAGTTTCATTATTATGATTAATTATAGTTTCGATCCTGTTATATTGTAATTTTTTAGAAAAATTATGTACTTGTAGATTTCCATATATATAAACTAATTTTTTGACTCAATTATTATGCAAGTGATTATGAAGTTTGTTATAAATAAAACCAAAAGTAGAAAAATTTTGTTCAGCTGTAGCAGACAATATTGGAATTGTGAGAATTTTTATTGCAAGTTGTTTAAGACTACTATTTGGCCAAGATTCTCACTATATTGCTGGAGTAAGTTCAGTAGCCGATTCTCAAATAATATTATTATTATACAGAGAACTTTTGTTTTAAAATTTAACTATTTCAATGAATAACTCTACTAATTTTTCTTGCCCAAATTTTTGATTTGTATATGTTGTAAATGCATTATACTCTATAGGTTCTATGTTATGAATTCTACTTTCTTCTAAAAATTGTAGGTCAAGCATATATGCAACTATCATAATAATATGATAAATATAATTCCATCGCTCTTCTATAAGTTCTTGAATCTCATTAGAAAAATTACAGGAAATTTCTTGAATTGAATTTATCATTTTTTTAAAATTAGAATAAATTGACAAAAGTATTGATCTATCCAATTCAAATAATTTTAATGTAGTAACTATTGGTTTTAAAATACTTGCAATTAAATTTAAGTTTTCCCAAAATTCATCATATAGCATATAAATTCTTAAACTTGAATCTATTGTTTCATGAATTCTTGAATCCATTAAAGTTTGTTCTAAAGCGATTCTTGTTTTTTGAAGTGATTGAAAACATTCAAAATGTGTACCTTACTATGTTAATACTGGTAAAACTAATGCAATTTCTTTATTATAATTATCTTGTTGAATTTGTTTAAGTTTTGCTATTGCTTGTGGATGTTTCTTAAAATATTTTACTAACTTTGTTGCATTATCTATTTTTTATGCTATTAATTTTTAAAATATCTTTAATTAAAAGATTTAGTGTATAAGATGCACATCTAAAACAGACTATTATAGAATATTTTTCTTCAATAATACACCATGCTGCTTTCATTACATTAGCTGTATCTGTAGTAACTGCTGAAAATTTTTCAATATTAATTGTTTCCATTTGTTGAATTATTTGAGTTGAAATCTATTCTGCTGTATGTAATGCTTCTCCTGAATAAATTGCTTCAAAAAAAAAAGGTTCTGATGTACAAACAATAAAATTTTGTACAGATTCCTGATTAATATTAGACCAACTATCAGAAATCATAGATAAACTTTGTACTTGTGAAATTTGTATATTAGATTCTATAGTTACTTCATTATAAACCTTATTTAACAATTCATTTGAAAGTTTTTTTCGATTTGGTAATTTAAATATGGGATGGATGTGCTGAAAAAATTTAATAACATATGGATTTTCAAGAAAAGAAAATGATGTTCCTGTTGCGAATAATGCTTGTGCTAATTCAAACTCAAGAGATTCTTGTTCATTATCACTTATACTATCAACAAAATTACTAATAGGTATAGTTTTTAACCGTTTTTGAACACGAGAAGCATTAGAATTACGGGGTACAGATGTACTAGTTTTAATAGTTGATGATATATTTCTTTGTATTTTAGATTTTGATTTTGCATTACTTGGTGCTTCCGAACAAGTAGCATCAAGATGTGCTTGCATTCGAGTAGCAATTCCTCGTTCAAAGATTTTTGAGCAATATTTGCATTTTACACGTGGATGCGGCTTATCATTTTCAATTTGATCTTTAGCTCGAGTTTCAGTCTGGTTTTCAACTTGGTCTTCGGTTTGCTCTTCTGTTTGATCATCTTGATCTTCAGCTATATTTCTTGCAAGAATTGTCCAATGTTTCCATACGTTACTCTTTTTTTTTACCATATTAATATTATCGAATATATTTTTTATTATCGTTATTATACGTAGCGATAGTATTTTAAATTTGATTTTCTAAATTTTATGTTACACTGCATATTATACCAATTATACCAATTATACGGTATAATTATACCAATTATACGGTATAATTATACCAATTATACGGTTATTATACCATGCATATTATACCATGGTATATTAACGCCCATCCCTAATGACAGCTATTACTGGTAGATGTTGAAAGTCATCTGACTATCTTTGATACCCCTGACGCGTCACTCAAAATTTATGTCGCAATCCAATTTTTTTCTTTTATTAATTATATAGAAATAAATAAGAGCAATGAACTACTTTAACCAAACCGATCCGAAATGCTGTTCGCTTTTGGGATATCTCCAATGGAATCTAACTTCAAGGATTTTACAAATAAAACGTATGAACATAGCATTTTTATCGATTCAATCAAAAAGATTTTACAAATAAAACGTATGAACATAGCGTTTTTATCGATTCAATAAAAAAGATTTCTTATCAAGATTAGGGATGGGCAAATCGTGAATTTTTCAAATTTTCTGCGCAGCCTGCGCATGAAAT